GACTAAGGAAATAGCAACATTAATAAAAGATACACTTTTGGAAAATATGATGAAGAAGGGGCTGGGAAGATGACTCAGTGGTAGAGCGCTTGCCTTGCATGCCTGAGGCACTGGGTTCAATTCCTCAGCACCACATAAGCAAAAAGAAAAAAGCCGGAAGTAGCACTGTGGCTCAAGTGGTAGAGTGCTAGCTTTGAGCTAAAGAGCTGAGGGACAGCACCCAGGCCCAGAGTTCAGGCCCCATGACCGGACCCAAAAAAAAAAAAAAAAAAAGAAAGAAAGAAAGAAAAGAAAATATGATGAAGAAAACAATAAAAGAAGGCACAAATAAAGAAGGAAAAATAACCTAGGAAGTGGAGCTGTGGCTCAAAATGGTAGAGTGCTACGCTTAAGCAAAAAGAGCTCAGGGCCCAGCACCAGTGGCTCACACCTGTAATCCTAGCTACTCAGGAGGCTGAGATCTGAGGATCACAATTCAAAGCCAGCCAGGGCAAGAAAGTCCATGACTCTTCAATAAACCACTCAGAAAACCGGAAGTGGCACTGTGGCTCAAATGGCAGAGCACTAGCCTTAAGCTGAAGAGCTGAGGGACAGTGTCCAGCGCCAGAGTTCAAGCCCCACGACCAACAACAACAACAGAAAAAAGTATCTGAGAATTGTTTGTTTGTTCAGGTGTTTATTCTTTTAAGTCCTTATCTTGTAGTTCTAAAATAATTATGCGTAAAATACCTGGTTTTCTTCTAGGCATCTAAATGATGGTGGCTACATAAAGGTTACCATATAAAGGTTACTAGACTTGTGTGTGTTTAACATTTTCTGTAATGAAAAGCTAAGTAGTATTCAACTTTTATAGGAAACAAAACAAGCGTTTGAGACTGTTCATTAGTAGCTCTACACTAAAACTTTGAGCATAATAGAATGTTGAACACAGGCTGTGTAGAAATCTCTGTTCTGAGCTGTCTTTGTATGTCAGCTGAATTTTATGCTATAGTCCATGAGAAGCTGACCAGTTCATCTCGAATGTGCCTTGCTCTTCAGCCTCAGGTGCATATATGTCAGTGTATGTTAAGTACATGGAACATAGCATGAAGAGCCCATGCACATTAGAGATTATTTAAACACTGACTAAAATAATAATTCTTCACTATTAGGGGCCACCAAGCCCTCATGGAGGGACATTCAGGTGGTAATATACAGAAGGAAGACTTGGTGCAAACCTGATTTAAACAGACAAGGCTAGCAGCATAATGGTAAACTACAGTCCAGTATTACATATTTGGATATAGATGCAAAAATGTAAATAAAATTCTAATAAATCACAGTACATTAGAAAAATTTATCTTGGCAATATACAGCTGGTTGAATGCTGCCAAAAATATATTAGTGGACCCAGGATTTTAAAGGGATTTCAAAAGATAAGTCAATAGACATAAGCTGGTACATAAGCCATTTAGGGTATGATCAAGGCAGCCAATACAGTTGTGATGGGTACCAGTGACTCAGGCCGATAATTCTAGTTACTCAGGAGACTGAGACTGACAGGATCACAGTTTGAGACATCCCAGGAAACAAAGACCAAAAGACCTCTTCTCTGTTTAATCAGCAAAAACTCAGGCTAGAGATGTGACTCAGTGATACAGTAACAGCTGAGCAAGTGAGAGGCCCTGAGTTCAAACCCAAGTACTAGAAGAAAAAAAAAGAAAACCAAAAATGTAGGAAGAAAAGGTAAATGGGAAAAGGAACACTGGCAGATAAAGATTTGGCCAACCACCCAAAACAATCCACATATTATTACAACTGAAGAGTTTTTCTGTATAACATGTATACACATTCACCCTGTCAAGTAATTTTCCTTTGCATCGACTAAAACCACAGATAGGTCTTTCTAGAGCACCTAGGAATTAACCTCAAGTATGATTGGCAAAGACTATGGAAGCCAGGCACCAGTGGCTCACTCTTGTAATCCTAGCTACTCAGGGGCTGAGATCCTCAGATCGCAGTTCAAAGCCAGCCCAGGCAGGAAAGTCCCTGATACTCTTATCTCCAAAAACCACCAGAAAACCAGAAGTGGCGCTGTGGCTGAAGTGGTAGGACGCTAGCCTTGAGCTGAAGAGCTGAGGAACAGCGTTTAGGCCCAGAGTTCAAGCCCCATGACTGCCCAAAAAAAAAAAAAAAAGACTATGGAGAAAAGTACAAAGACATCATGCTTTTGAACAGAAAAATTCATGTACATATTAATGCGACCTAATAAAATCCTGACAAGTTTGGCATGTTTTGTTGTTTTTTGTTTTTGCCCCTGACAATTCTGTTTTAAAATCATCATATAACACATGCAATTTGGGTATAGCTCAGTGGTAGAACACATGCTTAGCATGCATGAGGGTTAAAGATTTATATTCTGAAGATGAGTATTCGGGAGACATGGAACACCCTCTCCTAGTTCTTCTTTCTCTGCTGTGATGTCCTCACTAATTCAGCTAAGCCTGTTTTCTTGTCTTCAAACTTGCCTGTCAATTGGGACAACAGTCCACAGTCAGCTTACCTCCTCCAGGAAGCCCACCTGTGTGGCACACTCATTTAGGGTTCCATTTGCATCATAAAACTAGGGCAAATTCATAATATGTTTGAAACCAAAAATTAAATGAAATATATATAGAGACCAAGACTATAGCAGAAAATTGACTTTATAAGATACCAAGATTATAAATGCTGAGATATTCAGCTATCTGCTACAAGAGAATATCTTTAAAATACTAAGCTATGGTCAGGCACCAGTGGCTCATGCCTGTAATCCTAGCTACTGAGGAGGCTGAGATCTGAGGATCACGGTTCAAAGCCAGCCTGGGCAGGAAAGTCTGCTAGACTCTTATCTCTAATTAATCACCAGAAAACCAGAAGTGGAGCACTCGCAGGCAGTAGAGCACTCGCCTTGAGCTGAAGAGCAGAGGGATAGTGCCCAGGCCCAGAGTTCAAGCCCCGCAACCAACAAAAAAACAGAAAACTAAGCTCTGAAAAGCATTCTCAGGCAGGGAATATGGTTTAGTGGTAGAGTGCTTGCCTAGCATTCATGAAGGCCCTGGGTTAGATTCCTTAGGACCACATAAACAGAAAGGGCTGGAAGTGGCACTGTAGCTCAAGTGGTAGAACACTAGCCTTGAGCACAGAGAGGCTCAGGGACAGAGCCCAGGCCTGGCAAAGAAAAGAAAAGCATTCTCAAACAAGATCCTCCTTCCCCTAAAAAAAAAAAAGCCAAAAATAAAAAGATTTAGGTTTATCGGTATATTTCAACACAGTTCATCCCTTCATTTGTGGGCTAATAAATTTGATTACATGTAAATACTATATTCCATTAAAATGGCCCAAAAACTGATTCCTATAAAACTAAGTTGAAAGAAATAAACCTGATAGCTAGGTATCCTATCTATAATGAATTACGCATTTTTTGGAAGATGAGATACAGAGGTCAAATAAATGTTCTTCCTTCTTGGTAATCAAGGAAATAATTAACAGTAAAATACAGTTTTTTTTAACCCATCAAATTGACAAAACTTAAAATTTTAATGATGAGGAGAAACAAGCACTTTTATCCTGGGAGTAATATGAATTGTAACCACCACAAGAGTGAGAAATGTGGCAGTCTCTTTAAAGCAGAAAATGTATATAACCTGTGACTAGATAGATCTCCTCTTGACATACAATTAACAGATATGTTCTTCTAAAGGAAAACAAGCAAATCTGATACATGTGCCACAAGTTGAAGGGATGAATGTGTTGAAATACACTGATAAACCTAAATCTTGAAATGTGTATCTAATTGCATAATAATTTTTGCATCTGAAGAGGTTACCTCTAAAGTGGATACTGAGTTAAAGGGGTCATTGGTCTCATTCAACTCAGATTGAATTGAAAAGCTCCATAATCAGTACTTTCTAAGGGAATGTAGCACTAGTGTTCTATCACCAAACAGCAGCATCACCTTCAACAGCTCATTTCATCCATTGTTTCTGTCATTCTATGGAAACTATGTCCTGGCACAGGTTCCTATGGAACTGGAGTTGCCAACCTGTCTACTTTTCTAATCTGTGTGTGTGTGTGTGTGTGTGTGTGTGTGAAACAAAGAGAAATGCTCTTTTCTGAGAATCTTATAGATTACACTCACAGATTGCACTCACAAGATGAGACTCTACTTCATAGCCAAAAATATGAAACTGCCTTTGAAACTTCTCTGACTTAATTTTGATCCACATACTGTCATATGACATTTAATGGAAGGATGAGCTCTTAGAAATTAGGGTATTAGTACAATTAGGGTATGATAATTTTAACATTAAAAATAAAAGCATTGCACCATTAGATGATTTCATTGTTATGCAAACAGCATACTGCAGTTACACAAACCTAGATGATGCAGATCATAGATCCAAGATGTATGTATATAAGTGTATATGTTGTAGTTGTGTATGACTAGAAGCACAGTAGATCTGATTACACCAAGATCATCATAAATACATGTGTTATGCTAAGCACATCTTATGATGATTATGACATCACTATCCAGTCTGAACTTCATAAGCACCACTTTAATCCTATGCATCTCAGAAAGGCAGTTAGTAATTCCATTGTTTATTCTTTACACAAGTAAATTCTTGGCAGTTTGAGGTGAAAATTTTTCAGAGCCCTTTACCAGCTGCTACTTATTCAAGAGACTATATAGTTAAGGTTCTCCTATTGCTTTTTCTTAACTCTTCTCCCAGTAGCACATCCCAAGTCTGCCTTGATCCTTTCCTTTCAGGCTAAACTTCTAATGAAGTAGACAGGAAGATTTCACATTCATAAACCAATGTTACCCTTATGTACCACCCCTCTCTCCGTCCAATATTTAGTTTTTTCAATGCATACAAATGTCAATACGTATTTTACTAGCAAAGAAAATATGATATGGTAATCCAGTACACTCGTTCCCTGAGAGATTCTGACATGGTGTCTTTCTCCCTCCTCAGGTATGGAGCAGTTTCAGCAGGAATGTTGTGTGCCCTTACCACCCTGTCCCAGCAGCTGGAGAATGAAAATGCTGTGGATGTTTTCCAGGTGGCAAAAATGATCAATCTTATGAGACCTGGAGTATTCACAGACATTGTAAGTAGTCTGATGAAATTATACATCAGCTGATGTTTTGTTGTCAAGACTGCATATGAAGAGAGATGCTCTGGCATTTAGTGTATAGAGGCCAGGAATGGTAAACATACTAACATGTACAAAACAACTTTGACCACACAGAATTATCTGGTCTGAAAGGTTAGTAGTACCTCAGTGGAGAAACCCTGCTTTGGAGAATTCTCTAGTTATAAAGTATGAATGCTCCATTACTCAATATTGATAGTGAACTATCAATATTGAGAACTGGCTGCATACTAACAGACGTAAGAAGGATAGGAAGGTGTACACCTTACTGTGAACAAATTCAAGTGATCACATTAATTAGATAACATTTTTGCTATTCCTGTTTCTCTACAATGTTCATTCAAAATTACATTTTTAGTTGGTAATTCCATCTGAGATGGAATGACTAAGTTGTTCCTTGGCTCACTCAGTTTTCCTTTTTTTTTTCAGGAACAATACCAGTTTGTCTATAAAGCAATGCTCAGCTTGGTCAGCACTAAAGAAAATGGAAATGGTCCCATGACAGCGGACAAAAATGGTGCTGTGCTCATTGCAGATGAATCAGACCCTGCCGAGAGCATGGAGTCTCTAGTGTGACTGGATTCCGGAAAGGGCACTTAATTTGTAAACTTCTGAAGACTGAGAACTTTTTTGAGGCCTTTTTTGCCAGACTCTAGGTTATACAATAACCCAGTTACTTTTTTACACTGATAAAAGTTTTGATATTTATTTTTTGCCATTTTATGTCTTAATGGTATCCTACTGAGCATTTGCACCTCTGTTCATTTCACACAGTGAAACGCAATTTTACCTAGTTTGCACTATATGATCAGTGTTACTGCCTATAATCTAGTACTAAAGCAAACCCTGATGTGACATTCCATGACAGCGTATGTGCTACTTTTTAGTTCAGTACAGTAAAGGTCTTTGTAATGACAGTGAATCTTGGTTTTCATTATTATTGCTAAAGCAGTTGCATTCTACTAGCAGGCAATGCTGTACTTTTCTTCAGTCCTCCCCTCCTATTTTTTAGGCACTGTTCAATACTGTATGCCTTCTGTATTTTAATGGAGTGGATGGATCATGTTTTCTTTTACAAAATAGCTGGCTATCAGGAGCTACTAAGGTCTATCAACATTGTAGCCTTGAAACAGTTCCGTTTATGATGGCTAAGAAATCCAGTAAGAAATTAGGAGGTTTAAGAGTTGCTTCATGTGAACATCTCTGATTAGTTATGAAGTTATATTCACAGCTTAAAAAATGTGTCAAAATAAAGGATAACTGTATTACAGCTTTCACAGTAGCTATGTGGACAGTGTGTGTTATTTCCACTTGACTCTCTGAAACAGCTAGCCCCTAAAATCAGGGCTATCATTTACAGTAGAAAGGTGGCAATCTTTTACACAACTATAGATCCTCTAAGTAATCCTCACTAATGCAGTTTTGTTGCTAATACCTTCCCTTATGATAGGTAGAGTAAAAATTTTTGTAAATGTACAATTCTGAAACTAGTACTCTAAAAATGTTCCACTACATATAGCCATCTAATAAAAACTACCTGTAGAGTTAACATTCTTTTCTTTCAGCCAAATGTTTCATAAATCTCTTGCATTCTTCCACTTAAGATTAAATTGAAAATACCGTATTAGCAAAAGTTTGGGGACTGTCTAAACTCTCACACATGATTAAGTCTTATTGGAAAAAAAGATAAATGGAATCTTAAATAAAAGGTGATGTCTACATTTCCAAGTGGATTTTTAAGAGAAGGAGGTGGCTTTGAATGCTTTTGTGTAGTTTAGCCTCAAGGAAACAGATAATCATTAGCATCAAAGAAACTGATAAACTATAATCATTAGAGCCTCTAAAGTTATATTCACAGTAGTAATGGAAAAATTGGGAGACTTTTTTTTAAAGAAATAGCAGTAGAGTTAGAAAAATAAGCACTTACTGAGATCTGTTCCTTCAGTTTCATGTGTCCTTTCAGAGTCCATTTCTGTCAGACTTGAAATCATAACCAGAATTGGGCCTATGAAGAACAGGCTTTCGTGTTATTTTATGCCAATAAAACTTGAACCAAAAGGCCACCATGGCTACTCTATTTTCTGGGTAGGCATGACAGCATGAATGACAAAATTATGATGAGTACTGAGGTTCTGTTATCTTGAGTTGCTTGAGCCATGCTAGAAGACCAGTTTCTATGCAGAAAGGAACTACAGGCCAAGTTCAAACATTCCAATGCAGGGGTCAGATCAATAGAGTTCTCGTGAGCTATGTAATTTTATCAAGGTTAATCTCAGCTTTTCATCACACAACATTCAATAGCACAGACTATTTGCTTCTACAAAACTGTATACTAGTCTTTGGAAAAAGTGTTCAAGTGAGCAAAATGGGCTAAATGTATGTTGATAGATGGCACAGACACCTTTACCACTCCTCAGCTCCCACCAGACATGATGGCTTGCCGTTGGAACATTTACAACTGCTGGAAGGCTGAGGGGAATCAGGAAGAGAAAAGTTTCAGGTTTGGTTGAAAGCTGAAAGTTTCTCATTTAAGTGAGTCACTTTAGTTGTGCAGACTATTGATATGAACTAATGCTTGTTAGTAGATGGCACAGTGGCTTTATCATTCAAATGTAACATTTGAGTGCATGATTCCTCCAGTCATTTTTTTTCTGAATAAAAGGACATTGCTTAGAAAACAAAAGCAAGTATTCCCTTCTGCACTATTTACAGAAGGCTCAATCTGTGGAAATGAATACCTTCATTCTGTGATTGTCTTGCTGTTACACGAGTAACAGAATAATGATGAAAGGGAAAAAGAAAGAGCAAGTCAATAGGATAGAAACTTTATAAAGATGGTTTCAAAGTTCTATGTAAGCAATCTGTTTATCTACAGCAGGCTTGAACCAAACTGTACAGATCCTGACCCACTGAACTGTGAACAACTGCTATTTGCCCATCTTACCAAAGTGGTCCAAACCCCTCACTGAGCATAGTTCCAACTTTCACCACAATGTGCATCATCACTATTACTATCCATCAATAGCAAAAGTATGCTTGCATCTCTCCAGAGGCAGAGACTTCCAAAAATGGCATTTTGAGACATAACAAATTGCTTCCGTAGTTAACAATGTTATTACTACTTGCATTCAAGGGGAAAGTAAATAGCTATTCCAAGTTAATGTGTACTTCTTTATAAAAATAAAGCTGTTTGGGGGTTTAGCTCTAAAGAATCAGAATGTGCAGATCATATAAAACCAAACTGCTCTGATCAGACCAAGTGGCAGTGATGGACATCAAAGGCATCTTATGCCATCAGAACTTTCTTACACCTGATAGCTATACTACCATCTTCCTCATTTAAAAGAAGTTCTGACTTTAAATAATAGAATTAGTTAATTTTCCTAATTTTATGCCTTGCAGTTTTAAGACTCCCATTTGGAATAGAAGAGTCCAGCAAGGTCAGAGAAGAGTTTGGGTATTCAAGTTCTAGCTGTTGGAATTTGTAGCCCAGAGTGATACTGAAGTCAATAAATAACCTAATTATTTTGTAATGACACAGCACAACTGCCTTGTTATGACTTTTTCTTAAATGCATATATATTTAAAATTAAAATATAGATACCAATTTACCAAAGACACATATTACTAATTCTAAGCAAAAAGTAAACCCAAATTAATCGTAATTTAAGAGAAAACAAAGCATAGTGGTCTTAAGAAGTTAGCAGTTATACTGGAAAATGCATTTTTAATTTCTATGTTCTAAAATTTCTGTTCAAATGGTGCCAGTGAATTTTTATATGAAGGGAAAAAAATGCCTGCTTTTTTCTGTTGTTAGCAGCTGTAATTTCACTTAACCCTTTGCGCTTTCCCTTAGTTCCATCTAACATACAATATTGGCTTTACTTATCTCTAGAAAGAAGGCATGCTAAAAATAGGAAAGAATTGTAATAATATTTGGCCTCTACTTTGTCTTAGCTGTTAAAACTGTTTTTAGTATTTTTGTTAACTATTTGCAAGGGGAAGCGTTTTCTACAGAAGATAATTTCAAGAAAAAAATATCTTGAGTTTTAAGAAAAACATCTCCAGAAAAGGAGAAAAGTCAATTTTTTAAAACGTCGCAACTCTCCAACATTTGGGGTAGTGACTCCTTTTTTGTTAAGACATTTGAAACTTGCAAGCAGCCATTATTTCTAAAGAATTCAGCCTTCATGTTGACTCCTGTTTCTTTCACTTCATTTTGAAATAGCTGAAATCATTAAAACTGTAAATATTTTGTTGCTTGGGTAAACATCTTCTGGGAACTTTGTATCTATGGTATATAATCATAGAATTTTATATTTTCATATAAAGCTAATTTTTTTCTAGTTTCAATTCCGTCATAGTTTTTCTTTTCTTTTCTTTTCGTGGTGGATATGTGAATTCAACGTTCTGTGTATTGAAGTAGCAAGAACCATCTTTGCATTCCAAAAGAATCCAACATGTTCTTTCTTTGAGGCAGTGATTGTGAAAGTTGGACTTTCTTTAAATCCCATTGACCATTTGTGCAATAGGAATTAGACATGATTAGTCACTGAATTCATTTGTTGCATTGATCCATTTGGAAGAAGTGATTTTTTTTTTTAAATTTGTTCTGGGGGAGGGGTTTTGTAACCTGAAATTTTTTCCTTTTTCTTTGTTTAAAACTATATCAAATCATTCTATTATAGTGTTATTTAATATGTAAATTGTATTGCTATACATAAATAAAGTATGGTTTTTGATGTACTCATTGTTGAGCATTTCAGTGAAAATGTCTATATCCATTAAAATGAGATTACTAGCTTCCTTTAACATTAATACCCACCAGGATTCCATCTTAGTTTTCACAGTAGAAAAATTAATTCTAGTAGTCACTTTTACACAGGCAGTAAGCCAAAGAAGTGTCTTCAGTAGGTTAACTTATTAATATTCTCAATCCTTTAAAAAGTCAACAATGACAAAGCTTTACCTAATATTGAATCAAACTCTTAACTCTCAAACTTCTTGACTCTCCTGCTACATTGTAAACAAAATTACTACTTTCTCAAGCATATCAACCACATGTGTAGCAACTTTTCCTTAATTTATTGACTGATGAAAGATACTACCCTGCAAGACTTTTGGAGAACCCATGGAATATATGTAGGATCAATACAAGTGCTTCTACTTACTTAGAATAAACAAATTTGTAAGCAAGTATATAAATAGGAATCTGGTTAAATTCTCTGTCTCTAGGCAGTTTCTCATGTAATTATATATACTCTTATGTACTAGTAAGTCACAAAGTATATGCCTAATCATAACCTAACCCCTGAGCTCTAGATTCATATTCAGTAGAGTATTTATTTGTATTTATAAGTCTTAATAAGCCTCCCAAACTTAAGGTGACAATAAGTATAACTCAGATTTTTTGGCCTAACATGGTCATCCCCTATTCTTCTACCACCTACTATAACAATAGCATTTGCAGAGGTCAAACTAAAAATCCAGTAGTAATATTTGATTTATCTTCATCTCCTATTTTTGTTTATTTTGCCAGTCTGGGACTTGAAATCAAGGCCTGAGCACATCTCTGAGCTTCTTTTGCTCAAGGTTAGCATTCTACCATTTGAGCCACAGTGTCACATCCAGCCTTTTCTGTTTATGTGGTACAGAGGAATCAAACCCAGGGCTTCATGCATGCTAGGAAAGCACTCTACCACTAAGCCATATTCCCAGCCCTCCTGTAACTTTTAAAGAGGTGTAGTATCTGTGTTGCCTAGACTGGTCCTACACAAGTAGTCTTAAACTATTTTTTCTGCCTCATCCTCCAGAAGAACTAGAGTCCATTTAATCAAATAAATAATTTTTAATATATGCAAAATGGTTGAACAGATTCCTCAGTGTATACAGATGGCAAATAATTGAGAGGCTCGATAGTTTTAGTCATTGAACAAATGCAAAATAAAATCACAAAATAGATACAAAACAATAGCATCAGGGAACTGGAACATAGATTAACATGTATGAACTAAGAAGAAATGTAGCTTGGCTGGGCACTGGTGGCTCACACCTGTAATCCCAGCTACTCAGAGGCTGAGATCTGGGGATCACAGTTCAAAAGCAGCCTGGGGAGGAAAGTGTGTGAGACTCTTATCTCCAATTAACCACCAGAAAATCAGAAGTGGCACTGACTCAAGTGGTAGAATGCTCACCTTGAGCTGAAGAGCTGAGGGACAGCTCTCAGGCTCAGAGTTCAAGCCCCACAACTGACCAAAAAAAAAAAAAAAAACGATGACGACGACGACAAAGAAGAAGAAGAAGAAATGTAGCTGGTGCTGGGGGCTCACAGCTGTAATCCTAGCTACTCAGGAGACAAAGATCTAAGGATTGCGGTTCAAAATCAGCCCTGGCAGGAAGGTCTGTGAGACTCTCATCTCCAATTAACCACCAGAAAACCAAAGTGGCGCTGTGGCTCAAGTGGTAGAGCACTTGCCTTGAGCTGAAGAGCTCAGGGACAGTGCCCAGGTCCGGAGCTCAAGCCCCCCACCCAAAAAAAAGATGTAAATAGAAGACTGAACAAAAACAACAAAATCTAAGCTGGCTGAGAGTGTGCCTCAAGCAGGAGAGCTCCAACTTTGCAAGCATGAGGCACTGAGTTGAATTCCCAGTACAAAAAAAAAAAAAGTAAAAGAGAATGATGTAATATACACAAAATAGGAATCCCAGAAGGAGAAAAGGCAGAAGAGTGAGCTGAGGAAACAAATGTCATATGTTTTCCAATATTGATGAAGCCAAGTGACAGAAAACAATGAGCAAGATGAACACACACAGAGATATACATGCACTAAATGATCATACCTAGTCATATCAAATCAAATTGCTGGAAACCAGACACGAAGTCTTGACTAGGTGCAGGCTGCTCAAGTCTAATCTGTGAGATTAGTCTGTGAGATTCCATCTCTAGTTAAAAAGCAAAAAGCTACACTAGAGGTACGGCTCAGCTGGTAGAGAAAGCATGAGGCCTAAATTCAAATCCCAGTATTGGAGGAAGAGAAGGGGGATGAAGGCAAGGGACAAAGGTGGTGATCTTGAAGGCAACCACAGAAATTCGTAAGCATGCATTATCTAAAACAGTACAGAAACTTAATGTCATAAACCACACAATGCAAAAGTGACTTAAAGTGTTGAAGAGGAGTCAACCCAGAATTCTCTACTCAGGAAAGACAAGGTTCCTCTTGCAGAATGATTTATAGATTAAGCAAAAAGTATTTCCCATTTATATCTATAGTTGTAGACTTAACTTTTCAAATGAAAGTCAACACTTAGGCCGGGCGCCAGTGGCTCACGCCTGTAATCCTAGCTACTCAGGAGGCTATGAGGATTGAGGTTCAAAGCCAGTGGGGGCAGGAAAGTCCATGAAACTCATCTTCAATAAACCACCAGAAAACCAGAAGTGGCACTGTGGCTCAAGTGGTAGAGTGTTTGCCTTCAGCTGAAGAGCTGAGGGACAATGCCCAGGCCCAGAGTTCAAGCCCCACAACCAACAAAAAAAACAGTCAACACTTGGAATGGTATGTTTGTCCACGTGATGTTTCACAAATATGATTTAGATGTCATCAGTGTATTGGTTCATGGAAAAATCTTAGGTAGTCAGTAAAGCCTTATGTAAAATTATCAATTAAAAACTGAGTTAAAAAAATTAACAGAAAGAAGCTATTCTATTATATTGGTGTCACTAAATATAAATAAATGAATGTCTTGTTAACAAAATCTTCGTTTATGCTGTTTTGTTAACAAAATGCAACAGAATATGGGCAAGCACGCTAAGATTCTCACCTGCATTATGCAGATTAAACCCAGACTGTCTTTAAGAAAATACTGGCAGAATATGAAGAAATCAAAGCACATTGCTGAATTCCCATCACTCAGGTTATGTGGATAAGCATGTAAGACATTAAGCCTATCTTAATTGCATATTCAAAGAACACTTGGAGAATGAACAAAATTCTCTTAATTTCCCTTATATAAATGGCCAGTGCCTCATGTCTATCCTAGCTACAAAGGAGTGTGAGATCTGAGGACCAAGGTATTCAAAGCAAGCAGTCAGAGAGAGACTCTAGTATCCAATTAATCAGTAAAAAGCCAGAAGTAGACACATGGCTCAAGCAATAGAGTGCCACCAGTGAATGTCAAGTGAGAACATGAGATCCTAGTGGCCTCAGTAGCAGCACAAATAAATATCTTAAAACATGCTAATTTTGGGGCTGGGAAGGTGGCTCAGTGATAGAGCACTTGCCTTGCATGCCTGAGGCCCTGGGTTTGATTCCTCAGCACCACATAAGCAAAAAGAAAAAAGCCGGAAGTGGCACTGTGGCTCAAGTGGTAGGAGCGCTAGCCTTGAGCTGAAGAGCTGAGGGACAGCGCCCAGGCCCAGAGTTCAAGCCCCATGACCAGACCCCCCCCCAAAAAAAAAAACCAAAAAAACAAAAAACATGCTAATTTAGCCAGGCATCAGTGGCTCATAGTAGCTAGCTACTCAGAAGGCTGAGATCTGAAGATCACAATTTGAAGCTGGCCCAGATAGGAGAGTCTGTGAGAGTCTTATCTCCAATTAAGTACCACAGAAGCCTTGGAGCAGTAGCCTTAGCCTTGAGCAAAAAAAGCTCAAGGATAGCACCCAGGCCCAGTGTTTAAGCCCCAGGACTAGGGATGGATAGATAGATAGATAGATAGATAGATAGATAGATAGATGATAGATAGATAGATAGATAGACAGATAGATAATCACTTGACTGAGAATGGGATCATTCTAATCTTGTCAGTCCTTACAGTATATTGAATAGTTCTTTCTGCAAATGTTATTTTAAAAATATAACTCCTCCCTTTACCTCTCATACCTATGCCACTTTGTATTTCTTCAACTTGCACATCAGTTCCAGCCACGTTCAATCCCCCCACACTCACTGCTACATGCCTGGCCTGAACGATGTATTACTATGAAAGAGAAATTAACACTAAGAGATCCAGGGCCAGTACCATTAAAATGAAGCCAGAATACCATAGGTTTCCCTTCAGCTTGGTATGTTGACAGATATGAGCTCACATAAGTGAAAACTTTCAATAACCGAAAACTCTATAATGTATAATGACTAAACGTAGTTCATGTTCCTAAATGCTCTTGAGCACTTTTGTCAAAAGTTTTTCCCACATGAGAATATTGTTCTAAAGAGAATATTCTTAGGCTACAAGACTATGTTGAAATGAACTTTACAATTTTGGGGGAGTAGAGGGAGAAAAGTGGGAGAAAATAATGGAGGAAGTTACACTGTTCAAAAAGAAATGTACTCATTACCTTAGTTATGTAACTGTAACCCTCTGTACATCATCTGTACAATAAAATTTAAATTTAAAAAGAGTTCAATCAGCCTTTCCACTAAGAACTAAAATACTAGAGTAGGTAACTATCAGAAGTTACTAACACATGTATACATAAAAAATATATATGGACCTGAAAACTCAATGACAGTACAGGGTACTTTATCACTAGATCTCAAATAGATTTAGTTTTTGTGTTTTGTGGTTAGTACTGGGGTTTGAGTTTGGGGATTCGTGCTTGCTAAGATGGTGCTCTACCACTAGGATCATACCTCCAGCACTAATTTTGTAAGATAGATTCTCCAGAACTTTTCTTCCCATCTTCCTGATTTCAGCTTCCTGAGTAGCTAGGATAACAAATGTGAGCCTCTGATGATCAGATTAATATT